ACTGAGCTAAAGGCTTGAATAGGGCAACAGCTATAGCCGGTGACTCTGCTCAAGTCACGCAAGCGTATAGCTCATGATCACAAGATAACATTAACACAGAACGTGAGACCAAAATAAATGTTCTGTATAAAAAACCTGGAAAAGGTGTTATGTAGCCTGCTGTTACATATCTATGTTTTTCAAATAAGCAGCGTGAAAGACTGCAAAAATCTGGTCAGAGCTGTATGTTGTGTAGCTACTTTTTTATTAAATATTGTACGTAACGCAGCCATATTTGTGCCACAAATACAGGCAGTTGCTTTTTGAGATACTGGTGGGACAGAACCAAAGAACGAATATGAGCATGTATATGAATTATATCACTGGGGATGTTTTTTGTTTTGTTTGGCCTTTTTTTCTGTTGTTGTTAGTTTAGTTTTTTATTAAAACAAATTTAACATTCAGCCTCCTACTCCAATAACTTTCATGTAAAAGTCTACAAAAGTATTTCATTTCAAGTCGCATTTGTACATTTTTAATAATATGCTAAACTCTCAGTGTGATTGAGATCTGAGTCTCAAGGTTCATTATCCTAAAATATTGCAGAATTATTTAAAGCACAAGAGGATCCGACTATAACTATTACCCTTCACCATATTGGAATGCAGCTATTCTGGGTAACTTGGCATTGCGTCTGAAATATGAAAAAAATTGATTGTCCCATATTTCTCCTAATTATAACAGCTGTGATCAATTTTTCCGTTGTTGTTTTGTCCAATTACTTGCTTGACCAAATCCCCACAGTCCTCTTGGATTGAAGCTGGAGCTCAGCAAACGAGCCACTGCCTAATACTGTGTGGAACATTTATCCATGATGTAGAGGTTCGCTTTTCGTGTAAACATATTTAATACCAACTCATTAGCTACATCTAATCCCACATTTATCCTCATAATTTGACTTCCAATCTTGAATGCTAATGAGACAGTAATTATGCTTTCATACATGTTCCAGTCCTTAGGTATAATTCAATAGATGCAGTCAACACATTTGTCCTGATTTTATGCTTTAGTTGTTAGTGTCTCAGACTGCGCGCTGTGGTCTAATATTCTGCTGTTATAGATAAAAAGTATATTTATCATTCTTGAACCATGCAGCAAATAATTGACCAATTATTCAGTAAAAAGGAAGTGCACACTCTGCATAATGTCAGGTTCCCAAAATGCAGCAAACCTGTTTGTGTAAATGCACGGTATGCTGTTGTTACTTGTGATTTAACAGCTAACAGAATGGGCCAGGTGCTGTCTTCTGCAGTGAATTACAGCAGAACGGCCAAGAAAGTAACTTCCAGTGGTGAAACGAAGAAGATGAAAAGCGATTATGCGAGGCTGTGGTGAATAGTATATGATGATGTATGAGCCGAACAAATCTACTTTTGGCTTTCACACAACAGCACATAGGCGGCTGTTACTCTCATGTAATTAATCTCCATAATCTTTGCCTTTTCAATAAGGGTGCTAATCTAGAAAAAGAGACAGACCTCTTCACAAGCAGGCACTGTTTACAATGTTGATTACTTCCTTTGTTGTTGTCAGAGTTTGCCTGAAGATACATTAGCTCCTTTCTTATGATAAGCTAGATGGCGTAGATCTCGATATGAGTCCGATCAGTAAGATACTGAAAGAAATACGTTATTGTTAATATGCATGCATGCGGGATTTCTCAAGATAATCCCTGCCCACACACACACACACCACACAGGTGTGCACTCACCATCCCACCCTATAGGGGACAAAAAGATGTTTTCCTAATCGGATTTCTGAGCTCATCCTATGATGAGAGTCTGCCCATTTTATTGATCTTATGTTATCTCAAATTGGAAACCTTTGGTCCAGTAAGGAGAGATAGATGGAAGGACGTTTTAAAGTTTCTCTATTGATGCCTCAAACCAGGAAAAAATAAATAAATACAAGAAATTTCAAAGTAATGCTTTCCTACCCTCGGAGTTCCTCTGTAAAGTCAGTACTCTAATTAAGAATACAAATAAATCAGTTTTTCTCTGTTGCATTTAATTTCTGTGCATGCATGGAAAATTACATTTCACACCATATTTCACTTCATTTGATACTTTCCAAATATTATTGTTTTACAACACTAAATCTAACCAGAATTAATGTCTGTTAATGTCTGTTTGATCAACAGAAGCCCTTTCTTTACTGAGTGATAAGGTTAAATAAAATCCATATTTATTAAAAGCTATTAGTACTTACAATTAATCAAATGAAAATCACGTCTGTGCTGTGGAATGGTTTAATTTATTAAAGTGGATACGGAAACTTCAGCTTTTGCAACACAAAGCTACTTAGGAATGGCTTAGCAAGGGTCAACGTTGTGGAGTTGCCAAATCTAAATGTACGTGTGATTGTTGGTTACACACAAAACACGTCACCATCTTTTTCTTCAAATGAAGTGCAAACAGAGCCTTCTCTATCCCCCTGAGCTTTTTTATTATCTCATCTTAGTACTATATGTGTATTTTATTCAATGTCAGCGGTCCCCAACCTTTTTTGCACCACGACAATATTTTCTTTATTTTTCTTTTTTTTTTTTGCCTGTCCCGTTTGGCTCTTTTGCCATCAGAATTATTGTCTAAAGGCAAAGAAAGATGCCCAACGGATTTACTTTACCAAACTGACCATCCCAGCCTTGCCGTAATGGTCCATTTGATTCACCTTTTATTGTTTATTTTATTTTCACTTGCTGAATACGGGACAGACTTGACTGGGGGAAAGAAGGGGAGAAAGAAAGAGGGAAAGAGAAACAGCTGAGAAGAGGGACGGGGGAGAAGGGCAAAAAACAAAAACCAACAGAATAAGCAGAGAAAAAAATGCATATATCGATCACCTGGATCACCTGTTGAGAAAGAAAAAAGAAAACAAGCAGAAGAAAACAAGAGTAATAGAATAAACAACATCACAATGATATATGGGAATATGACAGTAAATACTAAATATTAAACATTATTGTGCAGCACGTAAGATCGACAGCACACAGTGTGCTTTGAGGTAGGAGCCAAAAAGGGTGTAGTTTGTGGGTGTGATCACCCGTGTGTACACCTGTGAGCATGGACGCGCTTGTTTTTTTAAAAGGTTCCTTCATGTAATGATCTGCTAGACAATATTTTCACACCGGCCTTTAAGGTGTCACGGATAAATACAACAAAATAAAACCAGTACCAGTTCCAAAAAAAAGAAGAGTTATTCATAACACACGGGAAAAGACCCAGGAAAACTCAGTTAACGAACCCAGGGAAACCGAGCCTCAACTCTCGCGCCCTGGTACCAAACGACTCACAGACCGGTACCGGTCCGTGACGCGGGGGTTGGGGACTGCTGTTCTATGTTGTAAATAAAGGTTAAAAATTAGCCTATTCATTTGCATAATGTGATATAAACATGGATAGCTTTGTCCAGAGAATAAATTCCGTCTGTCTTTCTTGAATTTATACATCTGCCTCACACACTACTCCCAATTTGTATTTTACATTTATGTTTTGCTGTTAAAAGGTTATTTTCTAGTGATCAGTGCACATCAAGCATGTGACATCATTGCTATGAGGCAATAAAACACGACAACTTCTGAGGGGCTGAATGGTTTTCATAGACATTGTGGCAGCATGGATTTTGATGTTACGGAGAGTAGTTGCCCAGCAGCTTCATCTCATATCATTGTCCCCAAAATGGCAACTGACTCATCTGTGCAGCATGTGTATGACAGGAATTACAATCAAGCTGTCATTACCTTGAGGCCAATTGTACTGGTAATTGTGAGAGGATGACAACAGGTTGGCCAGAATTAAGGCTCATCTTCCTTTGGCTAGTTCAGCACCTGCCTGCTGGCCACAGGCCGAATTTTTTTCTGACAGCCTCAGCAGGAATGATTGATGCCTGAAGGCCTCTGATGGGTGTGTGTGTGTGTGTGTGTTTCTCAGTGCCAAGCTGCTTTATCCATCCAGCACCCTCTCTTGAAGCTCATTTAGGTCGCACCTGTCATTGCACACATTGGTTGCTTGATGTTTTTTCCTTATAGGCTCGTCGTCTGCGGACGCATACCCTTTAAAGAAAAGCAGCTACTGTGCGGTGATGATAATATTCTGGAAATTGTAATCACCTTTAGCAGATGTCTGGTGCAATGTAGGTTAAGAAAGGTGTAAATCTACATTGTTTAGCTGATGCTGCACCATGCATGTAACTAGGTTTTTCCTGCATCAGGTACTATAATGAACAGAAATGCTGTTTTTTGCATTGTTTCAGAGTCAACAATCACATTTTTTATTTTATAAAAGAAAAATTTCCATGGGTTTTCCACCTGGATTCACCCAATCCCTTCTCCCATACACGCACATACCATAGGACCACCTATAAAGAAACAGTTAAACTTTTTCTCTATTGTTTGGTGTTGATAATCTCAGTATTTGCCGTGTGTACAATGACCTGAATGCACTGCAGTATACCAAAGTCTTTATCCTATTTTTATGCCACACACTCACAGCTCTTTTAGCTCCAAAGAATTTTAAACCTCCCAATGTCCTGATACTATTGCATTTTTCATTGGTATTTTAAGCAAAGAGTTGTGAGGTCTTAGAAGTCAGCTGGCATTAATTCCTCTGAGGCAGAGGGATTCAGCCTCTCCCTGGAAAGAGGCTTAAAAGAAAGTTCTCCTGCTTCCAAATGACTACACTTCTCCTTTCTCACATACATTTTTATATTCCTTAGTGGACAGGAGAACAATAGATAATTGAACGTGACTACGTTTAAAATACAATAAATTCTTTTAATAGAAACGTACTGGGGTGTACTAGACTTGCATATGCAAATACGTTCATTTAACTAAGTTTGAGAAGTTGACTAATTGTCTCATTGTTCTCTATGTTTGTGGGAAACAGACTGTCAGGGGTGCAGGTGTATACATAATAGATCAAAGCGAGAAGAAATACGAGGAAACTGAGATCGTTAATCCTGCTTTGTGGAAAAAAACATGAAATTTAATATATTTTTCAAACTACCATGATAGCAAATTTGAGAAACCAGTGACCAATATCACACAGAGAGTTTTTTCCAATGATGGTACAAGATTAAATTAAGTGACATATTCATGATATGCTGTACATTTTAGGTTCTAATAGCTGCTCGCTAGAGTAAATTTTATCTTTAAATTAATTTCTCCATTCGCATCACATTTATTCTGGCGAGGTTGGAGAACCAGCGGTTGGCGTGCGTGTTGCGATGGGATGAGGTTTGCACAAAGCCGGCTTTCTCGAACAGGGAAATGGCTGCTGTCTGTGGAGAGCTCACATCCAGGATGAGACGGCCGAAGCCTCTCTCTTTGCAGAAATCCAAAGCCTTCCGTGTCAACTGCGAGCCCAAGTTTTTGCGGCGCCACGAAAATGCCACGACCATGTGACACATCTCACCATAACTTCCATCCCCGGCATCTTGAGCCAGCTCAGAGCCTCCTCCCGTCACTCCGCCATTCCAGTCTTCAAACCTTTTGCCTTCTTCCTCTCCGCTTTTTCCAGTCACTCCCACCATCCCTACCACCTTGGATTGGCCATTGATGTCTGTCTCTGCTACCCAGAAGCCGTTATCTGGGTTTTCCAGGTAGCTGGCCTGAATGTCGGCCATATCTGCGCTTTGCCTCCTCATCATGTAGCCCTCATAGATATCATGGCAGCAATAATAAATGAGGCCAGCCCATGCAGTGCCAAACAGTAGAGCTTGGAAGTAGGAGCTGCCTCCAAGCACATAACCAGCCATCGAAATGCTCAGAGCAACACCAATATGGTCTGGATGGCTCATGGCCTTGAAAAAGGCTGGGTAAACATGCTCAAAAATCCCATCCTTAAATAGTGACATGACCACATGTTGATCTGAAGGTCTATATTCCCTGATGGAGAACTGAACTGCATGTTAGAGGAAAAGAGAAGGGAGGGAGAGAATGAGAGCTCGGTGAGACTAATCTGCCTGTTGTTGCAATCAGAAATTCCTGCTGGATTTCACAATGGGCTAAATATGCTCACGTAACCTGTTAAATAAATATAAAATAAATCACTATGCCTCTCACTGATTCTTACCCTTTTCATTTTTAATTCATTTCTATTCCACATAAATATGAAAATGCCATTTTCATGTGACAACCTGAGGTGAAAATCACAATTAAAATTATTACTACTATTAAGATTCCAAGAGTGAGAGTCATTCTGGGGATGCAATACAATTAGGTCTCAAATGTGCTAATGATCGGAATCAAACGAAGGTGATCCTGAGGCAACAAACAAAAGCGTTTTAGTTTTATTGAAACGTGTTTATGTCATTAAGGGTTGTTAGTACTGCCATTCATCTGCACCCGTGCTGTCTTATTAGTTCTCTTGTTCATAACCAACATGACAAGAACAACAACAAAAATAGCATAAAAGATGAAAATAATCAGAAGTTTAACTTACAATTGTTTTTCTGGGCCATGCTGACGCCTTCCCCTCGTCTTTTGGTCTTTTTCTCACTCTGACAGACTTAAAGCTGCCCCAGACTTAATCTACAGATTGTGATAATCAGCCATTCACAAAAGGGATTGAAATTAGTCTGAGCATGCTCACCTATGAGTTCACACCACACACACACACACAGTGTAGACCTGAAATGACTTTGAAGTATAACTGCTACTGTTTGTATAAAACATTGAGGTTTATATAAGAAATTTTACACTTTGATTTAGATTCTGTGGAAGCGTGCTTTAAGTTAATTGAAATTAAACACAGGATTGTTTTGGTTATTTAATTTTTTTTAACTTAATTGGGCTTAGTCAACAGAGTAAAGAACTTCATCACTGGATTTGTCAGGGAGGATGAGCACAGATCCTGAACATATTAAATCAGAAAAATGATCAGAATGTGAATTCAGGAACCATTCGAAAACTTCAAAGATACTTCCAAGAATAAAATGTTCTTATTAATCTCTTTTTTGGGTGCTTCAGTTTTGGTGGTTTTCTCTCGGGAATCTGCTTTGGATCTCCAGACCGCTTCTTCTGCACAATATAAGGTGAAAGTAAAATTAATATTGTCTAGGCCCCTGACATAAAAGTGTCCTATAGCGCTGGTGACAGTGTCTTGTGCAATAACCCGGTGGCCCTCTGACATGATTAAATTTCCTCAGCAGGAGAAAGGCCTTTACACCTGTTTAAATCAATAGCACTGCCTCATGAATCTGTGAGCCCTGGAAGGTCAAGCAACTGTGGAACTTTCTGAAACCATTTCACATCTGCAGAGTGAATTCTGAATGCAGAAGTGAAACCTCCTCCACTCCTGTGATCACGTTCGGTAAGCATGTATTTTTTCTTCTGTTTACATTCAGAGGCCTGTATCACAAAGTCCTTAACTCTCATCTGCATACACAGTTAGTTGCATAAACCACGCCAAATTTACGCACTAATTAAAACCTTTAAAGTCATGATCTTTGGTTATGTGGCCTATGTAGACACATTGAATTGAGAGTCCTGAGACCAATGTAATGCAACGATAGGTTAAATATTAAGCTTACCTAATAAACCTTTTACAGTTACAGTTTTTAAGTTATCACCTACCATGTTCAAAGAAAAGTAACAAGCTGCTTTAAGTTGTTCGGTATTCATCGCATGTAGGGTTAGTCCTTATTCTTTGTGTGATGGTGAGAAAATAAATACCCCTCTGTACATCCATAATGATGATCCATCCAACAAGGACGGTTAACCTGAATGAATATCCAGACTGAATACTGACATACAAATGTACTGAAGTGCAATTGAAAAGTTATACAAGCCCAGTCCTGGCGCTGAATGAATCTTAACAAAGTAATTCAAATCTGCAAAATAACTTCTGCTACTCAACAATAGATGGGAACATACTTACCAGCTTGCTGGTTTGCGTTGATGTTATAAATGGAATGGAAACAATTCAAAAGGTTCACATTCACTGACTATGAAGTTCAGTTTTGTCTGGCATTAATGTTTAAAGATACTTTTTTTGCACTAAAGCAACATACTCTGAAATCACATCATCTTTGAAAGACACATTTGTAATGAAATTGAAAGATGTTTACGGCGCAGTCCTAAAAAGGTCATTTTTCCTTCCATCCATCTTCGTTCATTTGTTCAGTTCAAAGTTGTGGGGAGGCTGAATCCTACACAGTAGCAGCTATTTTAGGGCAATAGGTGGGGTCCACCCTGGAGAGACTGCCAATCCTTTGCAAGGCTAAAAAAAATCAAAAATATTCCACATTCACAGCCAAGGCTAATTTAGACTTACCAGATAACCTAACACATGGGAGGAAGGAGTAGTTACACAGACAGAACCCACGCAAGCACAAACTTTTTATTTTTATATGTCTTTACTCAACAAATGTGAGTAAAATGCTGTCCTCAAAGTGTCACTTGGTTTATCCTGACTCTTGGTGATTTTCTGGGGAACATAATCGCAATCAAAAAACATGAATAAGACGAAATACTTGTTTGCCATCAAAGGCTACATATGGATTCAAACAGAATGATGTGTGGACAAATATCTTAAAAAGACAACACACAGTTGTGGTGTATAAACTCTTCAGAAAAGCAGCTGACAACAGCTCTTGGTCACCAGTTGGGGGTAAAAGCTACAGATTCAGTCAGTGTAGTAAATTCACCTGTGTGATGACCTTGAAGACAAGCTTCTACTCCTACGTGCTGATTCATACTGAAAACCTGAAAAGTAAATGCTCTTTTCTTGGGAAAGAGTAGCATTCCGTAATAGTGTAGATCAGGGTCAGCAAATGATGTGTGAAGAAGGACAACCTAACTGTAAAAATCACTGTGTATTGACAAAAGTACCTAAGGTGAACAGCATTATACATTACATGTCTGAAAAAGCCGATTATGCTCTTGGAGTCACCACCGTTCACCTTAAAGTTGAATAAACTATTGCTGAGCATTTTATTTCTAAACACGAAAGTTAAAACCATTATTTGAATTAATAAGAATATGCTGTAGCATTCATCAAGTCACACTTGTTCATGAAGTGTCACGAATTGCTTTCAGTACATAACACCTCATCATCACAGGTAATATTAATCTCACTTGATAGAATTAGTTAAGAGTGCTTCAGAATTGATTGCACATTGTCTTGAAACAAAAAGTCGCAAGTTAAAAAAAAAAACTATTGAAGTTGCCCTGGAAACTAATCACTCTAGACTAACTACATGATCCATTTATAATGGAGACTGTAAATTAATGAGCCTGTTTCATATGCTTGTCATAGAAGTATGACATTAAGACATTAACCCATTATATTACTGAGATTTTCTCATCCAGTCGCCATCATTTGAAAACACCCAAGAAAAAGTTATTTTCAACCCACTGCGTCTCCAACAGTTCTGAATTTAACTTTGTCATCTCCTGTGACACAAAAGTACATATACACTGAGCTAACACTCTCCAGAAATTTCCATTTAGCCTTGCTATAATGGTAGACAGTGGTGGTAGACAGTGTATTTTTTATCTTTAGGCTTTTTGCTCAAAGGCAGCATTAAAATAACATGCGTTGAGAACAGCGGACAACAGGTCATGTGACTGTAAGAAACTAATAACATCCACATTTAAATTAGCGTATTTACCATTATGTAATGAGTTTCAGAAGTACATGCAGGCAACTGCTAGCTGCTTTCTTCTGCGCTTTGTGCTAAGATAAGCTAGCTGGCTAACTGACCTATATTTACTTTGTGGCTATAAAGGCATAATTTAGTAAAGTTTTTATTAATGTTATTAGCAAAAAAAGCCCTGAGATGGAAAAAGACAGCAACTTAACAAAGCTGCAGAAAACGTCTGTCAATTTTCCATCCATCTCAAGCCACACATTGCATTTTCAGATAAGTTTACAGTTACCATTACCGAATTTCTATCACCTAAAACTGCCATAGCCCCTAAGCACCACTTAAGCAGTGTTTGTTTTTGATCTTGCAAAGCAAGACCACTTATAGTTCAAACAGACCTATGAATTTTAGATCTTGATGGATCACTAATGCTTCATTTAGTAGGCATTAGTGATCCATCACATAATTAGTTTTTGGATAAGGGAATACTATTTTGGTTAGGTTAGCACAAGCCTCTGGTTTAATGCTAAACTGAATAGACTGAAAACTAAATACAAGAAACTAAGCCAAAAACTATAAACAAGGAACTAAAACTAGGAAACTGGAACATAGAACTTGGAATTATAAGGAGGACGACACAACAACACGCAGAGGAAGACAGAGGACTAAATACACAAAGGAAAAAGAAGCGAAACATTGCTGGAACAGATCTAACCGATTAGACAGAGAGGAAGCAAAACAGAATACAATAAACACAGGACAAGGGACTATCAAAATAAAACAGGAAACACAAGAAACACACTGACAGACAGATTGGGACTGGGGAAGAACAGACATGAGAATATAACTGACTAGGGAGACAGAAAGACAACACAGTCAGGACACAGGACATGCACAAACATAGAGACAAGGGTGACTAGATGTGACACAGGAGAGGCACAGAAACAAAACCTAAAGACCAGAGACTACAAATATAACCAGAAAATAACTAAGAGAACTAGAAATACAAATGACTACACCATGAATAACACTAAATCCTCACAAGGGTTGAAAGAGAGTGTTTAACTGCAGTCCCATATTTCAGGCTTTGGAGGCAACTGAGACCAAACTGAGGGGCTAGACCAACTGAACAACATCCATTTGAGTATTTTGGCTCAACCAGCCTTGTAAAATTAACTGGTAGGCATGGTAGGCAGGCATTGATCTCCTCTAACTGAAAAAACCTGAGTAAGGGTAGTTCTGAAAATGCTAACCTACTACACTTTAATGCCATAGACTCATGCTTTCTGTCACTGCTGACCTACTTGATTAGCTCAAGATAACAACTTTAATCTTCAAAGAAAATCAAAGTCATGCCAATATTTGTTTCAATTGATGTGTGAATAACGGGAGATGCCCAATAGTAACTGCACAAAAAAGAACACAATGTCTGAATGCGAATCTGCAACCTTTCATTTTGTTTTTTTAATCACACATTGCAGTATAATTGTACAAAGAAACCAGGGTGCACGCTTTGGTTGTCTTGGACAACCCTTTTAGATTATGAGAGATAAGAAAGCATAATGAAAGTCTGGAATCACAACAGCCCCAAGAGGGGTGGAAGGCTGCCTTCCATCAAATCTTACTTTATAATCTTACTTCATCACAATCCAAGTCATGCTTCGTTCTTAGTAACTGCTGTGACACTTCACCAACTGTACGCAGACAAAAGCGATTGTCTCACCTCAAAGTGAGAATCCCAGGTAATTTTCATAGTGGAAATAATAGGATTTTAGTCATACATATCTCCCTGTTGCTACAGTTTCTTATATTTTAAATTCTACTGAAGAATAAAGGAAAGCTGTCTATAAACATATTGTATCGCAGAGGGAAGACGGGGTTAGTTGTAAACAAAGCGCGGATGA